CGTGCAGAGATAGGAGGGGTTTCAAGCCACAGCTCAAGCAAAGCCTTCTGCAGCAGGAGTCTGGGTGTGGGAAGAGCTCAGCTTGACTCCATCTGGGCACCCCAAAAGATTTTGGGGAGAAACCAGGTCCAAGAGAGCACCTAAACCCCTTCCCAACCAGGCCTGGCTTGGTGACACCCAATCGCGTTGAATCCGGCTGCTATCACCGCTTCCAGCGGCCCAGTGGGACACCTTGGGGTGGGGATGTTTGGGGTATAAAGCCCTAATTTTGACCTTGACTGGGGTCCCTCCTTGGTGTGGAGGTCCCCACCTGCAGCAACATCCCCCCCTTCCTTCCCACCACGTGTCCTCCAGCTGCAGAGGCCCGTGGTCGCCTCCGGGGAGAAGCAGCAGAAAGCCGAGTACCGGATAAGCAAGAGGTACTGGTCGCCCCCTCCCTTGTCCTCCAGCTGGTGGGACCGCCACGGTCCCATGGCCACCACCGAGGGGGCAGTGAAGCCAGTGCCGTGAGGGCTAAGCCCAGCCCCACGTGAATTTGGGGGGGCTGAAGGTGGGGTGCTCCCGCAGCGCCTGGCTGAAGGACACGGCCGACCCGGTGGTGCGGGCATTGGAGCAGCGCATCGCCGCCGTCACCGGCCTGGACCTGCGGCCACCCTACGCCGAGTACCTGCAGGTGGTCAACTATGGGTTGGGAGGCCACTACGAGCCACACTTCGATCACGCCACGGTCAGGAGGCTGCTTGGGCCATCCGGGGGTTGGTCATGGGGAGGTCCATGGGGTGATTCCTCTGGTGGTTTTGGGGTGATCCTGGGATGGTTCCTGGGGTGGTTTCCCAGACGGTCACCAGGATGGTCCTTGGAATTGTCTTGGAAACGGTTCCTGAGGTGGTCTCTGCACTGGGCCCTCATGTTCCTGGAGGTGGACCTTGGGGTGATCCCTGGGATGGTGCCCAGGGGGGTGTCCCTGGGGTGATCCTTGGGATGGTCCCCAGGGTGGTCTCTGGGATGGTCCCTCAGGTATTCGTGGCTGTGGAACCCTGGGATGGTTGCCTGGGGGAAGGTCCCTGGGGTTGTGCCCATAGTGACCCCTGGCGTGTTCCTGGGAAGAGAAGGAGGAAAGAGGGAAGGAAGGAGGGAGGGATTTCCCTCGGGGCAGCTCAGAGTCACCAGCTCCACCAGGGCATCAAGTGTCCCCAAGCTCGAGCCGTGTCCTCCCGCGCCTCACTGTCCCCACCTCCTCACTCTCGGGGCAGTCCAGGAAGAGCCCCCTTTACAGAATGAAGTCGGGCAACAGGATCGCCACGGTCATGATCTACGTGAGTGTGTCTCCCCTTGCCCCCGATTTCTGGACCTAGAGAGAGAGACTGGGCTTGCATGGTGGTCAGTAGGTTTCAGAGTGAACGGGGTTGGAGGTGGGTGAGGGCAGCCTTAAATCACCCTGTGATGGGGTGTTAAAAGGACAGAAAAGGCAGAGCTTTTCAGAAATTGCGCCTGGCCAGAGCAGGGGAAGAACTATGGGAGGCACAGGGAGAGTTCGGTGCCTCAGTTTCCCCTCGCAAAGCAGCTGCCTCACAGAGGGAGGGCAAGAGCCGTGGCTCAGACTTTTTCTCCTGTTCCAGCTGAGCGCAGTGGAGGCCGGCGGCTCCACGGCCTTCATCTACGCCAACTTCAGCGTGCCCGTCGTTAAGGTGAGGGAGGGACCCGCAGGAGCACCCCAGGGAGCGGGGAAGGGGGGCGCAGCTCTCCTGTGTCTCACCTCTCACAGAGAGCCTGTGCAGATGCTAAACCCCAACGCTGGGAGCTCCCTGATCTGTTTTGGGGTGCCAAACCCTTCTCTGCTCCTCCGCAGAGAGGCTTCCGGCTCACTTCGAGGTGAGCCAGACCCCAATCCTGCAGCTCTCTGCTGGTTTGGGGTGCCAAACCCCAATTCTGGGGCTCCTGGCTCTGTTTTAGGGGTGCCAAACCCCAACCTCAGAGTGTCTATCTCCATTTCAGGGTCCCAAACCTCAATTCTGGGGTTCCTAGTTCTGTTTTAGGGGCGCCAAACCCCAACCTCAGAGTTTCTATCTCCATTTCAGGGTCCCAAACCTCAATTCTGGGGTTCCTAGTTCTGTTTTAGGGGTGCCAAACCCTAACCTCAGGGTTTTTATCTCCATTTCAGGGTCCCAAACCTCAATTCTGGGGTTCCTAGTTCTGTTTTAGGGGCGCCAAACCCTAACCTCAGGGTTTTTATCTCCATTTTGGGATTTCAAATCACAATGCTGAGGATCCTGGCTCTGTCGTCAAACCCCAAACCTTGGGTTCCTGCCTGGTTTTGGGGCGCTGAACCCCAACCTCAGGGCACCCAGAACTTTCTTCGGTTTCCAAAACCCCAATTTTTAGTTTCCTGGCTCTGTTTTGGGGTGCCAAAACCTTCTCTGCTCCTCCGCAGAACGCGGCTCTCTTCTGGTGGAACCTGCGGAGGAACGGGGACGGTGACGGGGACACCCTGCACGCCGGCTGCCCCGTGCTGGCCGGGGATAAGTGGGGTGAGAGACGGTGCCCAGCGTCACCTCGGGGTGACCCGGGGATGGAAGGGGCAGCTCTGCTGATGGGGAGGCAAGAGAGAACCCCGAAAAATCCTGCATTATCAGGAAGAACATGTCACCGATACTGGAGCGGGGTTGAGGAGAGGTGCAGTGGGGATGGAGGTTCACGTGGATCCTTGTCCTTGTCCCTTCCAGTGGCAAATAAGTGGATCCACGAGCATGGGCAGGAGTTTCGGCGGCCGTGCGGCGCTGACCCGCGAGACTGAGTCGTCGTGGGCTCAAGGACGGGGCACCCACGGGTGGCAAAGCCACCACGGCATGGCATGTCCCCAAGGCTGCCAGGGAGAGAAGGGAAAGAAGAGGGTGGCCATGGCGCAGGGTTTCTGCCAGGGGGGTGGGTGGTGGATTCAGCTGTGGCAGAATCAGCTAAAAAATAAAAGTCAAAAGACCCTAAACTGGAGTCTGGAGGAAATACCTTGGTGTGGTCCCTGAAGGGACGATGGAGGGGGTGTACATTCACGTCCCCTCACCCCTCATCCCAGCTTGGACCCTAAATGTACCCTCCAGCCCTGTCCTCCAATCCTAGATGAGAAATCTCTCCACTCAAAGCACTGTCAGAGAGCGACGCCGTGTTTCTGCGGTAATCAGTAGGCTTCAGAGTGAACAGAAGGGCCAGAGAGGACCCTGGCTGCACCCAATGCCTGATTTTTC